ACAAGTGTTAATGTTGATGATATTCACTCTGGAGATTTCTTAGCATTATCCAAATTTCGTGGTCCGTGGGGTGCGTTTGAGACTCTACAGAAGTGGGTTACTGGTTCATTTGCTGGTCATTCTGCTGTTTGCTTAAGGGATTCTGAAGGAAACTTGTGGGTTGCTGAATCTGGGCGTGGAACTGGAGTGGTTTGTATGCCTTTTGTTCTTCATGCAGGAGGATTGTGTTATTTATGCTTTTGTTCTTCTTGCAGGAGGATGATATTATTGATGTTTTACCATGGGATGAGTGGTGGAACTACGAACTCAACAACGATTCATCCAATCCCCACATTGCATTTCTTCCTTTGCATCCTGATTTGAGGGCGAAGTTGAATGAGACTGCTGCGTGGGAGTATGTAAGGAGCATGGTTGGGAAACCATATGGTTATCATAATTTGATATTTAGCTGGATCGACACCAACCATGGAAACTATCCACCTCCCTTGGATGCCCATCTGGTATAACTATCTACTTATTTACTGTTTTCCCCATCTCGAGGTTCGGAGCTGTTAGGAACGATGCATCATTCCCCTGTATACTGTGCCTTATCATTGTAGCATTAAGACTAACCTTTCGCATATGGTAAATGCATGATTCTAGCTCTCCTTTTATTGGAATGCCTTCTGTTGGGAGAACACAGGGTAAAGGTCTTAGGCCTGGAGGGGTCCCTAAGCGCAAATCGAGGAGTTGGCAAAGAAAGCCCTCAAATCTAAATGAATGAGATAACTCTTTGTATTATAAAATGATTTGTGTAAAGCACTCCGCGTAAAGGCCGTAAACTATATATTTTAGTGATGTTCCAACCTTCTTTCATTAGTTCTGAAATGAAACCATCAGGGCTGGTTGATTTGAGGTTTCCCATAGAAGGAATAGCTGCAAAAATTTCCCCTTCTTCGAGTTTATTGGAATGCTTATTTGATCTTTCCATTAGTCTATTAAGTGATGTGCCTAATAGATTAAATATGTACTTGTCTCAATGATGTTTATATATTTAACTTTGTTCTCAGTAATCTGTATGGAACTTGCCATGGTAGCTCCTAAAGAGTTTTATCATTTTACTCTTTGAGTTTGATTGCTGGCACTATTTTACTATAGGTTGCTTCTGCTATGACAATATGGACACAAGTGAGGCCAACCCTTGCGGCAAACTTGTGGAATGAAGCTTTAAACATACGACTTGGAACAAAGGTAGTTATAGTGCTTATCTAGTTAAAGTGAAGAAAGCTTTCTAAGAAATTGATGATTGTGGAGTTGAATATTTGAATTAGCTATCTTTCTTCATAGTTATCGTATCTAAAATGATCCAAAGGTTTCACAGAGAACTTTTGTATGCTGTATTCATAATTGGAGTTTCTTTTTTATCCATTTTTCCTTCCCAATGTTCTTTTGTTTAGCCGTTTTCTTTTTCCTTCGCAGGGCCTTGACCTTCCTGAGATTCTAGTTGAGGTTGAAAAGCAAGGGTCATCTTTTGGCGAACTACTGGCTATTCCTGAACAGGATGACTGGACCTATGCTGACGGGAAATCAGCATCGTGTGTTGCTTTTATCCTTGAAATGTACAAGGCGGCTGGGCTTTTTGGTCCACTTTCTAGCACAATACAAGTCACAGAGTTCACAGTAAGTTCGCTGAGAATGTTCTGCTATATGTTTACAATGTTAAAAAAATGGGTCAATTTGTGTCATTCCTATTATTTTGTGCTGTTTTTGGACAAGAGACGTTGAAGAAACTAAAAGTTGATGGCGGAGGGATATTTTGATCTCGTCAACCATCATTATAGCCAATATAGCTTAGAATCATGCCATTCGACCTTGAACCTTAAGGTTTATTCGAGGAAGGTAAGGGAGGGAATTTAGTCCCAAGCGATGAGTAAGAGGTTCAGTTTAGATAGTTATATATGTCTGAAATTTTTACAGGAAGTTAAGAGGGGAGTTGTGACTTCCTTGGTCGGTTATCATATGTATTTCATTTCTATGGGAGAGAAATAGTAAATAAAAAGATACCTATCATGTTCTTTGGAGTAGGACTAGCCCTTATTTTGTTTAACTTGTCGATAATGTTTGATTAAATTATAAGTTTAGTCCTTGATCTTACATATTTGTATCTAATAGATTTCGGAACTTTGAGTTTTGTGTCTAACAAGTTTTTGACATATTCGCATCTTTTAAAAATGAATGATTTTTATGCAACCAGATAGTAACATTTTATAATGAATGATTTTGATCTTATTTGTGTGTTTTGGGTCTTTAATATACTGTCCATCTAAAATGCAGATAAAAGATGCATACACTCTCAACTTTTTTGAAAACAATTCAAGCCGCCTTCCGAAGTGGTGTAATGGTGGGGACGATGTCAAGCTTCCATATTGTCAGATTCTTGGAAAGTATCGAATGTATTTACCGGGATATAATAGCATTGAGCCCTATCAACATATGAATGAAAGGTGCCCTTCTCTTCCAACCAAGTACTACCGTCCAAAGAATTGCTAGAAACGTCTTATGTCTTGATGATTTCAGTTGTTACAGTATTGATTTTCTTGTAGCCTTCTAAGTTTTTGCATATCTGAAGCAATATGTTGGAACGTGTAGCACACAATGTTGCTTCAGTTCTGTTCCAATTTGTCATTCCTATAGAAAATTCAAATAAGGTATAGATCTCTCCCTCTTTCTCTCTTAAACAGAAATTAGGTTACATTAACTTTTTTCTGTACCTATTGAAAATTAAGCATACCTATAAAGTTGTAGTTAGATGTTTGATAAATTTCAGTGAAATCAGCTGTTCATATTTATTGAGCTTCTATTCGATCAGGCTCTGTGAAATAACCTGCATATGCCAATTATGGAATATAGTTTTTTGCATTGACAATGAACACCCTTAGTATCAACTTATTTGTGCATTTTAGATTTTGAATTTGGTATTTGATGGCATGGATGTACAATGCAACAGCTCAAGCCCACCGCTAGACCGTTAGCAGATATTGTCTTCTTCGGGTTTTTCCTTCTAGGCTTCTCCTCGAGGTTTTTAAAATATGTCTGCTAGGGAGAGGTTTCCACGCTCTTTGTTTCGTTTCTCTTTCCAACCGATGTGGGATCTCACAATCCACCCCTTTCGAGGCCCAGCTTCCTCGCTGACACACCTCCCGATGTCTGGCTCCGTTACCATTTGTAACAGCTCAAGCTCATCGCTAGTAGATATTGTCCTCTTCGGGCTTTCCCTTTTGGGCTTCCCCTCAAGCTTTTAAAACGTGCTTGCTAGAAAGAGGTTTTCTCACCCTTATAAAGAATGTTTCGGTCCCCTCTCCAACTGATGTGGGATCTCGCATACAACGAGTCTAGAGAGTTACAGACTCTTCAACAGTAGTTGGTTTGGACTTGCCTTTAGTTTGATTTGAGCTTCATCTCAGTCATGGATAGATCATCGGGCCCATAAGCATCAAGAATTTTTCTGTGAAGACTCTGATCGTTGGCTTCCTTGCTAAATTGCTAATATATATATGAGAGGCCTACATTCTTCATCCATCCTCCCACACACTCCTTCGGATATTCAGGCTTGAAGAGTGGTACAAGAGCATTCCTCACAGCCTAAAAGGTGCAAGTTGGTGTCAAACCATGAGGTTTTACACAAGCGTGTCGGGGCCGAGTGGTTTGCCTTGCTCAATTCTAACAGACTAGCTTCAGACATTTTAATATTGACTGAAGATGAACTTGATAGGAACCTGCCCATGAATGAATGCTATAAGTTTGCCAAAGAGGGCCAGATTTTAAAATTTAACCCTGTTTTCTGATTCTCTTCTGTAGCCATTTTTTGTTATCAGGTCGATCGGCTCATGGCATGAAGAAGGGCAAGGGGGTGGCCTATAAAGGGTGTCCAAATTCTGAACCAGAGGAGGCTGTCTGAATGATATCTTAGGCAGGGTGAGGAAAACGATGACAGTGAGGTAAACACATAAACCACTTCATTGTTTAGCACATTCCTTGAATTCAAGGTACTTAATTACTATCTTTTTAACCTAAATTCTAGCTTATAGTTTATATTTTACAAGAGTTTAACGTTTTTTTAGAACTTCTACTTAGGTAATATTGTGAAAAATGGCTTACAGTCTCCTAATCGAGAGAGAACGAAGCGTTTTAAGAGATATGTTAGTTATCCTAGGGATCGTGCAAAGAACATAGAATTTGCAAACTTTTCTACAAAATCTGGAGATTTTGCTGAGTATGATTCCGTAGCTGAGTGGTATGTTATCGACTTGTTCTATCATATCTGTGTCCCGTATTCGTATTCGTTTTTGTGTTCCTTAGTCAAAGATATTCTTCCTTGGTGTTGTTTCTGCAATGGTGTGCATTCTATGCAAGTGTCAGATAGAAGCTTTCTGTCAATTATGTTGTTTCTGCAATGTGCATAGTCTCTTTAGGCTTGGTGGATAAATTCATTTGAGTTAAGTTTGACTTAGCTAGAACAGATGACACATTGCTCTAAACACTAATCAAATCAAAACCAGCTCCACTATCTACCGCTATGAAAATTCGAGTTCATATCACTCAAAAACTCTTCGATCATCTCCTTCATAAACAAACATTTCTAAGTCGTCTCAAGCATCATAATATCCAATATAATCATTTAATGGCCATCAAAATGGAGGACACATGGCTTCTAAACATTAATTAAACAAAACCCAATTCCCACTAATCCTACCACTATGAATTGAAGCAATCAAAATAAAGCAATATTGAAAATTCATAATCATAACCCAATCTCTAAGATGCCTCTAAAAAGATGCATATTCCTCCCATTTCTCTAGCATAACATCCATGGCTTCTTCTTCTTGTTTGATTCCCAGAACTGTAATTCTTCTTGTTTCCATTGTGGGTTTTCTTCTTCCATTGCAACTGCAGGCCCTGAAATCGCCGTTTTCTCCTCGCGACGTGCTTCCATTACTACCAAGAAAGGTGTCATGGCGGATTCTGAGCTCTTTCGAAAACCCCGCCAATCTTCTTCCGACATACGTTGGAGCTGTCTCCTCTCCTGAGAAATCTGTTCAGTGGCAAGGGGCTTGTTTCTATCAGAACACCGCATGGCTGGAGTTCCACAACAAGTCTGGCTCTGAATATGGCGGCGGTACGCTTCATATAAAGGTATATTAATAGTTAGTTATTAAGGGAGTTTTTGAGGATTTAAAGCTCTAACCTTTTTGAGTAGAAAAAGCATAATAAGCTAAGTTATGCATAAGTTAACGGTTGTATCATTTTGGACCCGACACTTTTGAGAAACATATAACATAAAACGATTACATTGAAGCACCATGATGAGTGTTCTTGAAGCTATGATTTTTAATCTCGATCTAAAAACTACAACGCACCGGAGAGGCATCTGGGTGTTACACTTACCCGAGATATATATATATATATATATATATATGCAGGTTGGTGATGCACATAGTCTAACGTGTACGGATGTTTATATCTTTGCAACTCCATACCGCTGGACTTGGGATGGCTATTTTCTGAATAGAGAACATACTCTCGAGTTCGATCAATGGGAAGGAAAGGAAGAATTTGAATATGTAAGAACTGTTTGATAATTATTTAGATCTCGTTTGATAATTATTATATCATAATTCTGGTTCTTTATGAATTGGGTGTATGATCTGTTCTGAAATCAGGTTAAAAGGGAAGGGGTTTCAATTTTCCTGATGCAAGCTGGAGTGTTGAAAAGCCTTGAAGCACTGTACAGTGTCCTCCCTTTGTTTGCAAACTCTGAGTGGGGCGAGCAATCCAATATTAAATTTCTTGAGAATGAAATGAGTACCACCTTCAAGGAACGCCCTCCTCCATGGAGTACCAGCGTCAATGTTGATGATATCAACTCTGGAGACTTCTTAGCACTGTCCAAAATTCGTGGCCCATGGGGTGGCTTTGAGACTCTAGAGAAGTGGGTTACTGGTTCATTTGCTGGCCATTCTGCTGTTTGCTTAAGGGATTCTGAAGGAAACTTGTGGGTTGCTGAATCTGGGCGTGGCAATGGTGGAATGGTATGTTTTTCACTAATTCTTAATTTGCTTCACATCCATGCGAGTGCGTGGGATCCGCGCTCCAACCCCCGTGCTTAAAAAGTTGACGTACTCGATCTTAATAGTGCTACTTGACTGCTAGTTGAACTGCAACAGATATTTTTTTCGCATCAAGCCACGAGAGTTCTACTGAACATCACGTGATTGAGCCCCACTACAAAATGGTCGTAGCTCAGCTAGCAATCAAATATTACTCATTCTTTTTAATTCATTATAATATTATCTATGTGGCTAAACCTAATTAAAAGGTTAAATACACATGGTTTAATTATTGTTGCAGGAGGGTGATATTATTGATATTTTAGCATGGGATGAATGGTGGGACTATGAACTCAACAAAGATCCATCCAATCCCCACATTGCATTGCTTCCTTTGCATCCTGATTTGAGGGCCAAGTTTAATGAAACTGCTGCATGGGAGTATGCAAGGAGCATGGTTAAGAAACCCTATGGCTATCATAACTTGATTTTCAGCTGGATTGACACCACCCATGGAAACTATCCTTCTCCCTTGGATGCCCATATGGTAAAAAAGAAACATATATACTTAGTTTACTCACGTTTCCCGCTCCTCAAGTTAAAAAAAAAATTTTAGTCCCGTAACTTGTATAGCTATTTAGTCCTTATACTTTCAAATTTTGTAACAGCTTAATCTCCACCATGCAAAATTTCATAACATTTTAGTAATATTTTTCATGGTAGGATATTATAGATGTTTAGGGACTAAATTATTATTTTCATGAAGGTTCAGTGGGAGATCCTACATCGGTTGGAGAAGGGAACGAAACATTCCTTATAAGAGTGTGGAAACCTCTCCCTAGCATACGCGTTTTAAAACCGTGAGGCTGACAGCGATACGTAACGGGCCAAAGTAGACCATATCTGCTAGCGGTGGTCTTGAGCTATTACAAATAGTATCAGAGCCAGACACCGGACAATGTGTCCGCGAGGATGCTGGGTCCCAAGGGGGGTGAATTGTGAGATCCCACATCAGTTGGAGAGGGGAACAAAGCATTCTTTAAGAGTGTGGAAACCTCTCCTTAGCACACGCATTTTAAAACCATGAGGCTGATGACGATATGTAACGAGCCAAAGCAGACAATATATGTTAGCGATGGAATTGGGATGTGTTGTTACATTCTAACTGGGACCAAAAGTAAATCTTTTGAATTTGATTGTTGGCACTATTTGAAACTACAGGTTGCTTCTGCTATGACTATATGGAATCAAATGCAGCCGACCCTGGCAACAAAGTTGTGGAATGAAGCTCTAAACATACGACTTGGAACAAAGGTAGTTTTCATCAATGATTGGAATATCCACAAAATTGAAATCCCGATAGCGATATCGACATTAATATTTTATAACCCTTAGTTTTTTTTTGGTACTTAAAAAGTAATTTCGAACATGTCCTCGATCCGAACAGCTTTGAAATTCGGAACAGTCATTATGTTGGTTTATGTGGCAGGGGCTTGAGCTTCCTGAGATTCTAGTTGAAGTGGAAAAGCGAGGATCATCTTTTGGGAAACTACTGGCTATTCCTGAACAGGATGATTGGATCTATGAAGACGGGAAATCAGCATCATGTGTTGCTTTTGTCCTTCAAATTTACAAGGCAGCTGGCCTTTTTGGTCCGCTTGCTACCTCAATTCAAGCCACAGAGTTCACTGTAAGTTCCCTCACAATCTTCTGCTCTATATGTTTACATTGTTAAGAACTTGGCCTATTTGTGTCATTCCTATTATTTTGTGCTGCTTGTGGGTAAAAGACATTGAAGAAACTAGACTGCATTTTGTGAGGTTAAATATCTGATATTCGAGTAAGTGAATGGTACATGAATGAACTAAAACTACGTTAGAATGAGCGATCGTAAGGATATGCTGGTTAAGAAAAATTTAGAAGAGTTGAAAGTTACTACCTATACTAAAAAGGTGCATCTTCTTTTTTCGGGTGACTTAATTATAGAAACTCGAAAGTTAAGCGTGTTTAGCTAGGAGCAATTCTATGTTGGACTACTATGAATTTTTCTAAGAAACATGTGAGTGAGAAAAAAAAACATGATAAAAGGTCTCTTGTTGGTTGATGAGGATAATAGTCTTCACTCTGAAGCGACAAGTATGTAACGTGGTTACCTCATAGGAGAGGTAGGAGACTGCTGAGGCCATCAAGTGTTGAATTTGGATTCCATATCCTAGTTCGAATCCTGGGTATGATGCATTACAAAATAGGTCAGGTATTTCTACTAGACACTAAATTGATAGTTTAGCGATCTATTCGACACTAAGAGACTTTTGGATACAAAAAGAAAGTTTCGGATTTATAAAAAACTTTTAAAATTCAATGACCTATAAGACATAATGTAACAGCCGCCAAGCCCACCACTAACCGCTCTTATACTATTTGTAACAGTCCAAGTCCATCCACTAATAGGTATTGTCCGCTTTGACCTGTTATGTATTGTCGTCAGCCTCACAATTTTAAAACGCCTCTGCTAAGGAGAGGTTTCCACTTCCTTATAAATAATGTTTCGTTCCTCACTCCAATCGATGTGGGATCTCACAATCCACTCCTTCGGAGTCCAACATCTTTGCTGGCACTCGTTCTCCGCTCCAATTGATGTAGATCTCACAATCCACCCCCTTTGAGGCTCAGCATCCTCACTAACACTCGTTCTACTCTCCAATCGATGTGAGATCTCACACAAAATTTAAAGTTCATAAACTAATGACCTGTTTGGTATACCTACTCTTTGTATAATTCTTCCATTCTTCTCGAGTCAAAGTTCTCGGTTAATGACCTATTTGAGATATTCTTCTAGCAGTTGTGCTACATTTCTTGGGTTCTTTTTGTAGATCGAGTTACTAAATTGGATGATTTTGCTCTTTCTTCATATGCTTTGATGCAGATAAAAGATGCATACAATCTCAACTTTTATGAAAACAATTCAAGCCGGCTCCCAAAATGGTGCAATGGTGGGGATAATGTGACGCTTCCATATTGTCAAATTCTTGGAAGGTATAGAATGGATTTGCCTCGATATAATACCATCCAACCCTATCAACATATGAACGAAAGGTGCCCTTCTCTTCCAACTTACTTCCATCCAAACAACTGCTAGAAACCCTCTTCAAGGTTTCTTTCGTGTCGTGCGGGTTGGGTCTTGAATACTTGACGATAATAAGTAGTCTTGCGTTTAGTTTAAGGTTTGATGGGATACTAATAACAGACGTGCCTAGAAATAAGATGTCTTACAATAAAGTAATAAGAAGTTCATCGTTTCGTTTAAAATTTGGTGGGATATCCATACATAATATATATATATATATATTATGTGTTGATAATATTTTTACATTAAGCAGGGGACGGGACAGGACAGGGCGGGGAATTGGACAAAGATGGGAACGAGGAATATAATCCCTAGTGTGAACACCCTTAGTACAACTTATACGTACGTGTTTAGATTTTCACATCGATGGTAACAAAGAACACATAAAAATGAACTCGAAACTTATACAACATTACAGACAACTGAAAACATAACGATGTACATAAAAGACAAGATTAAACCTAGAAATAAAGTATAGAATATTACATTACAAGTCACCCAAGACTAGTCGATTCGTGCTAAGTTTGTTCATAATTTGGGGTAAAGTTGAATGGGTAACCCTTTGTTGGGCATCAAGCTTGGATCTCTGGTCAAGAAGTCTTGTGAAGAGAGCTTCCAAGTGAACTGAGTGATTATGTAATGAATTGTGACAAGAGTTTCAAGCTTTGCAAACTCATAGCCAGGGCAAATTCTGGGTCCTCCACCAAATGCGATGAAAGATAAGGGTGGTGGAATGGACGTCTGGTTCTGATCAAATCTACTTGGTTTGAACTTTTGTGGGTCTGTGAATATTTTCTCGTCCAAATGGGTCATTGATGCCGCCCAAAATATCTGAATTCAGTGAATGGTAGTTCATCAATGTCGGGTTTAGAAGAACAAATGAAAAGAAAAGGGAAATGGGTTTGAGTTAATACTCGTCGACTTATGAGTTTAGTACCTGAACTTTAAAAGAATATTGTAAAAACTGTAAAGACTTGTGAGTTTAGTACCTGAACTTTAAAAGAATATTGTAAAAACAGTAAAGAAGGTGAAGTTTGCTTACTTGCCATCCTTTTGGAATAGTGTATCCACCTAATTGAATGTCTTTAAGAGCCACTCTAAACCCTCCAAACACAGGTGGGAAAAGTCTCAAAGTCTCCAATGCTACTCTCCATGTGTACTTCATCTTGGAAACATCTTCCCAAGTGAGGGCCTCCCCACATTCTTTGCTTCTATGTATGTCTTCATGTTCTATTTAATTATAAATAGTATACGTTTAGTTGTTATTCAATTCCGTCGATGAATTTGACTAACTGATAATGAACAATGATCCAATGAAGAGTATACTTTTAGTTGGAGTTACAAATATAGCTCGAAATCTCATCTTAATGACTGAATAACTGATTGATTCTAAGATTAGAATGACCCCATTGAAGTTATCTAATCATTGAAAAACCTTTTTAAAAGTCAACATTCTAAAACTAGGCTGTTAAGGTGTTTAAATCGATATTAAAACGTCCGAAGTCCAGAAAAAAAGTCCAAATAGGATAATATTTGCTAGCGGTGGGCTATGGTTGTTACAAATAGTATCAAAGCTCAACACCGGGCGGTGTGCCAGCGAGGGAACAAAACTGTGCTTCCAAGGGAAGTGGATTGTGAGATCTCACATTAGTTGGAGAGAGAGAACCTCTCCCTACTAGATGTGTTTCAAAACCTTGAGAGGAAGCCCAGGAGAGAAAGTCCAAAGAGAGTAATATCTGCTAACGGTGGGATAAGGCTAGAATTGTTACAAATAAACCTTAGGGTTTGTGAATTAAGAAAAATTTGTATGATTCTCCTTCCTCCGAACACAACTTACCACTTTCATCATACATGCTCTCAAAAGAGCAACTCTTCTCAAAATCTCAAAAGATAATGAGTTAGAATCCTATTTTAACTGAGAATTCTTGTGGTTTCAAAGATTTCGACTATAAAAGAACCAGAAACGGAGAGCTTTCCCCGTCCAACAAGCACTTACAACAGAGGCCACCCACAAGCACCCGACCCACCCCCTTTGACTTACTTGGAACCCTAATAACTTAACCAATTCTACTAAGATCGAATCTCATTTTTTCAAAATCCTCAACGATTTCATCTAAACTACACCCCATATATAAGAAAGAACTCGAAATTTACATACATACCTTGAAGAACAGCTGCATAAACAGTTGGGTTTGTAGCCATAACCCTAAGCATAAGAGTAATCAAAATGGATGTTGTGTCATGTCCAGCAATCAATAGAAGGATGATATTGTGCACAATTTCCTCCTCACTCAAAGCTTGTTCTTTGTCTTTGTTCTTGATGCTAAGCAGACAAGTAATCAGGTTCTTATCCTCTTCCTTTTCTTCTTCTTCTTCTTCCATTTTTTGTGCCTTGTCCTTCAAAAGCTGCTTCAGTATCTGTTGAACTTTTGCACTTGCGTTGAGGCTATGGCTGTACCTTGTGAATGGCAGGTTGATTGGAACAGACCAAATCCCATCCACCATTGTTTTGAAGCATTCTATTATGCTCTTTCTTGTTGGCCCTTCTTCAATCCCAAACAGGAGAGAGCATATGATGTCAAAGGTTAGCGTTTTCATCAATGGCGCTACCTGCGTTTTTGTAACATTGTTAAGACGTTAAAACGACGATTTAGGTCTCGTTTGATAACTGTTTTGTTCTTTGTTCTTTCGTTTTTTGAAGTTTTAAGGTTATAAACACTATTTCCACCTTTGAATTTTTCGTTTGTTATCTACTTTTTACGGGTTTTTAAAGCTAAAAAAGAAGTTTTAGTACCTTGTTTTTCATAAACTTATTTATTGTGAGATCCGACATCGGTTGGGGAGGAGAATGAAACATTTTTTATAAGGGTGTGGAAATCTCTCCCTAGTAGACATGTTTAAAAAACTTTGAGGGAAAGCCCGAACAGAAAAACCCAAAGAGGACAATATCTACTGGTGGTGAGCTTGAATTTTTACAAATGGTATTAAAGTTAGACAACGGGCAATGTGCCAGCAAGGACGTTGGCCCTGAAGGGTAGATTGAGCGGTCCCACATTGGTTGGAGAAGGAAACAAGTGTCAGCGAGGATGTTAGGTCCTAAAGGGGGGTGGATTGTGAGATCTCACATCAATTCGAGAAAGAAATGAGTCCCAATGAGGAAGCTAGGTCTCGAAGGGGGGAGGGTGTGAATTGTGAGATCCCATATTGGTTAGGGAGGAAAACGATCTCACCTCGTTGGAGAGGAGAACCAAGTCAAAGAGGACATATCTTCTAGAAAATTTCACTTATGGTCCTTGAAGTTTGACTTATGTTATTTTTTGTCACCAAGTTTTCAAACTCGACATTTTAGCCCCTAAATGTCATTTAATCTCATTTTTTGTCCCTACCGTTTTTTTAACTCGTCATAATATCGAGCTCACTATATATATATATATATACTAAAATATAATAATTTTTTTATTATTTTTAAGTTGCTAATGTAGCCAAAAAAAAAAAAGCAAAATTGCTAAAATGTCGGGTTTGAAAATTCAGACTCAAACGCAACCTACATCAAACCCGAACAATTTATATAATTTTTTTTGATAAAAAAGAAAAAGAAAAAGGAGAAAAATTTAGAGAACTCACAATGACTTCCTTGTTGCCATGCCAATGCAAGTTTAAATGCTTCCTAACTTCCCCATCCATCTTCCCCACAAACCCTTTCAAGCTCTGAGGCCTCAAGAACCAAACCAATGCCCCTCTAACCCTCTTATGATCCTCACCACTCAACTCCGTCAAATTCCTCTCTCCCAAGATCCTCCTCAACGACTCCGTCTGCCTGTTCGACACTGCCTCCTCCTCCCCCGAAAACACCACCGCCTTGTTCGCCGCCACCCCATGTACAAACACCGTCGGTTTCCCGAAAAGGGTCATCTTCGAAATTGGCCCATACTTGGCCACTCTCTGCTGCAGCCATTGCTCGGCCGAGTTTGCTCGCATGGCTCGAAGAAGGCTTAGGCTCTGGCCTATAAATGGGACCCCCAGCGGCCCCGGAGGAAGGTTTTTGGCCTCCGCGGAGGAGAAGAAGGTGGCTCTAAGCCTGAGATAGAGGAAGATGGTGATGAGAAGGAGGATTGTGGCGATCATTCTTGGTTGGTTGGTTTTGGTTTTTTTGAAGTGAGAGCCTATCTCATTGCTATTTATTTGTGAATATTATATTATTTTTAGGTATAAAATACTATTTAAATTATTTATTTTAATATATAAATTTTTTCGTGAAAAACCCGATCTCGGGAATTCTTTCCACCCGATTCCTACAAAAATAAATGAAAAGGATCACAAGAATGAGGGACGGAGAAAGCTTCTCCGTCTCCGTCTCCGTCTCTGTCTCTATCACCGTTCTGTCTTATAGATATGTCTAACTTGCCAAATTATATTGAGGTGTTTACGAGTAAACATTAATAAAATTTGATGAATTTTTAAACATAAAAAGTACCGATTACAATGATCGGTGAGTTTTAGCCAATCATATTATTCGAACGAAACAAAACTAAAAAACAAAAGACATAAACTTAGTAATATTCCAAATTGATCCATGGGAATCAAATTGTGTCCTTTTCTTGGCTGCAGGCAAACACTAAGTTTATATGTTGTTGGTATGTTGCTATATTATATATATATATATATATATAATATATATTATTTATTTATATGACTTAATTTGGGTTCTATACAGTAGACATATGGAAAGAGGAGATTTAATAAGAATTTAAAATATTTGTAATTATTAAGGTTTTGTTTAATAATTATTTAATTTTTTTATTTTTAAAAATTAATATTATGAACACGCATCCATATATTTTTTATTTTTCAGCTGCTTATATGTTCCTTTCGAATCTGTAGATGACAGAAGAACGAACAAAAATTAGTAATAGAATCCAAATTTTTTCGAGAAAACTTTGATTCCAAGAAAGAACACATGTAAAAGAACATACTCATCAAGCAACGTCGTTCGTTCTATAGAGCTCGACCAAGAACACCAAGAACACAATATATTTGAAATAAGAACTCTACAACTTTAACCTTAAAGTTGGCAATAATAGCAATATTTTGTATGTTATAACATTGTTCGGTTTTAAGTGTAATCCAATGCGTTCTTCTTCTTGAAAGTTGCAAGGCTCAAGTATCTAGCTAGAATTAGAACCGATCCAATACCCACATTGCCAGTTAGCGATGTTGTGTGTCACGGTCATATTTGTCCAAGGCGTGTTGCCCTTGGCCACATATTTGTTATATGTCAAAACTCTTACCTTGTATCACTTGATAGTTTTATAGTTTTACAGTTGTACTATAGAAAATGCGACTAGCCGTCAATTCTTCTCTCCCAAATTTTGTATGACCATTCGGTTAAATCAAGTCTAGGCTTACTATACTTGAATCAAATGTAACATAAGGAATGTGGCTAGTTGTCAAATCTTCCCTGCCCGAAAAGTTATATGTTATTAAGTCGTTGTGCTATCTTTTTGCTTGTAGTCATCTAACACTAGTTTCAATCTTTCTTTCAACTTTATTTTCAAAAATCTTTCAGCCCGTTTTCTAAAATCTTCTTCTCAATATAAAGTTAGAGACTTGAGTATACATTTACCGATCATAAGACCAAATTGGCTTAGAGACTTGAGTATACATTTACCGATCATAAGACCAAATTGGCTTGACTTATTCAGAGTTACAGGCGAGTGCTTGTGGTTTCCTGGATGTCTACAAGCCCTCAAACGTATTTACCATAGTACCCCTAGCTTGTCTTTGGAAATGACGTGGTTACCCTCGCCTCGTACCGCTAAAACGACGTCGTACGAAGTTCCCTTCTTCTCTGCCTCGCTGCAAGACTGTTAACCTCCAGTATACCCTCGTTGAGCCGCCGAAGATGGCTATTCATTTACGAACCCGAATCAGATTTCCAGATCACTTAAACCAAAAATCCAGTGGCTATTTCCTCTCGATTTGCCGATTTTTCTCCAAATCTCTCTCTGAAATCCCTTACGATCCGCCATTTTCTCCTGTTTCGAAGCTCCAAAAGGCGAAGAAGAAGAAGATCCAAGATGGAAATTCGAATTCAATCAAAAACCCTACTCTTCCTCTTCATTCCGATCTTCCTTTCGATTTCTTCTACTCCTACTCCGAGACCAATCCCTCGGTTAATCCGATAGGCTATCGAGAATCTCCCAAATTCTCGCCGTTCGGACCTGGCCGACTTGACCGCAAATGGACTGGAACTTCGGCTCCTTCAGAGGTGGAAGTGAAAATAAATGAAGTGTTAGAGGAGAGAAAACGGATTCTTGGAGATCCATTATCGGAGGAGGAAGTTGCAGAGCTTGTGGAACAGTATCGGCATAACAATTGTTCTCGGCAAATCAATCTTGGTATGAGAATTTGAATTCATGTTAATGGAGGAAATTGGCTGGTCGCTGTTTATTTGTATTTCTTATGCACATTCTACAGTTTTGTTCTTGTTTTTCATGATCATGAACTGTTGCTCAGATATTTGTTTAGATCAATTAAGAAGGAATAGAGGGTTTGAGTAGTTTGGTTTTGCATTTGACTTAACTAGGAAAAGGGGGAGTTACTCATAACATGTTGGATGATATACACAACCATTGGAGAAGGGCTGAAGCTGTGAGGATCAAATGCTTGGGAGTGCCAACTCTTGATATGAACAATATATGTTTCCATCTTGAGGTTTGAATCTCAATGTGTTCAATTTAAAGATGAACTTTCATAAGGAAATTACCTGATGTGAGCTATAGTTTCTCTGTAGGACAAGTCTGGTGGGAAGATTATATATCGACATATCAATATCCTTCTGTTATACCGTGGTCGAAACTACGATCCCGAGAATCGACCAACTATACCTCTTATGTTGTGGAAACCTTATGCACCAATATATCCAAAGCTTGTGAAGAATGTGGCTGATGGCTTGTCATTTGAGGAAACAAAGGAAATGAGAGGCAGGGGATTGAATTCTCCTCCTCTTATGAAACTAAGTGAGTAATCGTCGTTTCAATGCACTATTCTTTCTATCATTATAGATCAATCGGTGTCCAGTGTCTAGCTCTGATACCATTTACTTATGCTCAAGTTGACTACAAATCTTTATTTTCTTTACAAGATTTGTTTGTTTTTGAGATATGGCTAGTAAGATTGCATTTTGAAGTTTTATTAAGTTGAAACTTCACCCATGAGTGTGTTTTCTGCAGCGAGGAATGGTGTATATGTTAACGTCGTGGAGAGAGTTAGAGAAGCTTTCGGGTTCGAGGAGGTGGTTCGACTAGATTGCACTCATGTTGGAAGCAGTGATTGCAAACGGATAGGCGTTAAATTAATGGTAAAGCTCTTCTCATCCCATTAATTCTAAGTATGTTTGTAATCTAAAGATTAAAGCATAGAACTCTGGTCAATGTTGATTGAATACTGTCCATGCTAAGTTTCCCCTTCCGACAATCCAGGATTTGGTACCTTGTGTACCCATTTTGTTCAAGGACGAGCAGATTATACTGTGGAGAGGGAAGAAAGATCGTGAAGAGGACGTGAACTCGTAGATGGTGGATGTTGGACGTCGGGGACGTGCGTGTGGAACACGCGGTCTCTGTTATCAATGATGTTATAGATGATGAGAGGATGGATTTTCTTCAAGGATGAGAAAACTATAATGTGTACTCATTTTGTTCGGAGATGAGAAGATTATATAGTGGGGAGGGAAGAGAGGACGAGAAGAGAGCACGAACCCGAAGAAGGTCGATGCCAACAGCGAGAGGAAATGTAGCTTGAATGAGTTTTGGGAATTTGTTGATGTTCATTTCTCAAACCTTGTGTTGTAATGTTGAAGTTGAGCATCTCGACTAACCTTCTCATGCAAGTTTATGCTCGTTATAGATCTTAGACTCGAACATCTTTGATTAATATCATTGTAACAGCTCAAGCTCATCGCTAGTAGATATTATCCGTTTTGGTCTGTTACGTATTGTCATTGTCCTCATTTTAAAACGCATCTTATAGAGAAAGGTTTTCATACTTTTATAACAAATGTTTCGTTTCCCTCTTCGAACGATGTGGGATCTCACAATCTATCCCCTTAGGGACTAGTGTCTTCAATGACACACCGTTCGATGTCTAGTTCTAATACTATTGGTAGTTGTTCAAGTCCACCACTAAAAGATACTGTTCATCTTAGCTTGTTACATATTGCTGCTGATAGTGAAAGGGTTCTACAATCGTATAAAAAAGATTGTCTCCCTCCCCAACTGATGTGGGATCTCATAATCCACCCCCTTTGGGGACCCAACGTCTTTATTAGCATACTGCTCAGTGTCTGAATCGATACCATTTGTAATAATCCAAGTCTACCGCTAGTAGATATTGTCCGCTTTGACCCGTTACTGTCACTGTCAGCCTCACTGTTTTAAAACGCGTCTAATAGGGATAGGTTTTCACACCTTCATGAATGTTTCATTCCTCTCTCAAACCAATGTGGGATCTAATAACCCTGACATCAAATCTTGGGATAGCTTCGATACTGAGCAATAACGATAATTGATTTGCTACAATCTATTGATATACCTTATATAATCTATTGATATACCTTATATATAATGAGTTTTAGTCAAATTACAGGTGTAGATGCAGATAAATGAGAATAATGGAACTAGAAACTGATGCAACTAAGATGAATTATAAGTTCACATCAACTATTTACATTGGAACAGAGAGGAAATTTCTGAAGGAGAAACGATAAACTATGTTAAATCGATCCAAAGGTTTCATCTGAAATTCTTCGGTTGATGGTTCTTCTCAGCAACACAACCAGAACCTACCAATGAGGTTATCCATGCTTGATCAGACTTCACTGGTTCATCATCATCATTTCTATGCCAACTCCAAAACGCATGAGTTGAGTTCACTATATTGAGTTCCCCGTGACCGAAACTAGCTTCCCGAAAAATTGACCATTCAGGCTGTGAGTTGTACCTAAATGAAACGAAATATGAATCAGCTTTCAACATTTTCATCCCTTAATGTTCGTACTTATGGAATGAAATAGCTATATTTCGATAATTATGGTTATTGAACTTTCATAAAGAGTTCACTTTAATATAGTTATCCCATACTTGTGAGCTAAACCTTCTCGGTTTCCTCCGTCACCAATAGTTATATGCACAGCACCACAAGGATCAGATTTTCCAGCATTCACACGTTTCTGCCAAAGAGTGAAAATGAATCAACAGATACTCGAGGCGAACAAGGAATAATCAGATATGCAAAAAGAGCAAAAATTATATACCGAGCGTTCATAAGCATGGACATGGCCAGCAATGACTATGTCTGCCCCAGCTGCATATAACAACGGCTCTATGACAGCCATCATACCTGCACCTTCACCTTGATGAGCTTTATTACTATTGTACCATGGCACATGGAATAACACTACTAGCCAGGGTGTTCTTTCCCTGTCCACCTTTGCAAGATCAGCCTATTGAACAAGAAAATTTCTGATATAAGAAATCTATTCAAGGGATTCATGGTAGTGGAAGGAGTCGAGAGAAGACGTTGAATTGAATGGTCAAATCCAATGAACTGGTTGGGTTAGGCATTTAGACTTTGACTAGGATCGCACAACAACGCACACACTCGATCTAGATAAACACAAAGAACATGGGAGAGAAAATGCAAAGAGGAATATTGGCTAAGGTTTATATTGATGTATGTACAACAAGAGAATACTGAGAATACATTTTCAAAACATAGGGTATATATATATTGCCTAATAGGGTATATATATATATATATAATTCATTTTAATATATATAACTTTACCCGATATAATCATCTACTATATATAACTATCTACCATAGATATAGCTTTTTACCCTACCTATTTATTATTTAGTACTATTTACTTCATATGTCATTTACCATATATAGCTTTACTATATCTATGATCATTGACTAAGCTATAAATAATCACTAGGTTCCGTAACCTAAGGCTCAAGGTTCATATGGCTTAATGTTCATATGATCTTATAAAAGTGTCATAAACTTCTACTCAATAAGCATCCCAATCTAATTAAACTAAATGCAGAATCTCACCTAAATAGTTATTTCAATAGAACTAGACAGTTTTCTCTTAACTAATTGGGCGACGACTCTCTCTCCCTTTCCATAAATAATATCAACTAGTGGGAGATTCCTTCTGTAAAAAAAATTAAAGCTCACGAACCTTCAACCATGCATATTGATATGAGGATTCATCATAATCAGTATACGATCCAAGCATAATCACATGAGTTCCGGCAACTTCAAAAGAATAATAGAGATTTGAACTTGATCCACTCTCCTCAAATGGCATCTTCCATCTTGCATTATAGGAGTCAAATGGAGCCTTGAATAGAAATATGTCCTCCTTTTCATGGTTCCCTTCAGTTACCATCCATGGCCTCGCACTTGCAAGCGGCTCCACAAGCTCACCAAATGTGTCCCACCGATGCTGCAAGTAATCAGCGTAGGATAGGTCGCCTGGAAGCAGATGAACATCATATTTGCACAGATCAATGTGCTCTAGTGTTGATTTAGTCCATCCACTTTGACCCAGGTCCCCAGCCACTGAAAAAGTAATTGGCAACTGGGAAGGAGGTGTCTTCAGCTGGAACTCAGAACCTTCCCCTCCACATCGGTAATAATAAACCGTCCCAGCCTTTAGAGGACCGATTACTGTATGATGTATCTTCCCTGACTTGTACAACATATAACTATATGAGGTGCTCTCTCCTTGAGAAACAGAAGTATATTCTCCAGGTGATGTGCCATATTCAACATAAGAGGGAGCAGAATGATCGTTAGTAATCCATGTGACTCTCATATGCTCGTCTCCTGCTAGGGAGACATGCACCTAAAAGGAATTAATGAAATACATCAAACAAAAACAACTCAAACTCCTAAAACTTTCCTTCATTCATGGACTTCGAAAATTAGCACAAAATTATGCAAGTGATTATCAATGTTAATTGGTTAAGAAATGATATTACAGGGATTTGTACCATGCTAACGATCTTAGCCATTTGTTCTTACTCCAGCATAATCATTTGTTCTTGTTCTTAACCAATCTAGGTTGATGTTAATGATCAAAACCCTAAAACTACCAAATTCAGAAGGGGAAAAAAATCGTTACTATTCTTAGCCAAGATAGTCCACCAAATTTCTTCACAAACAAACATACAGATGATACTAGTAAATACCAAGATTTAACAGGTCGGAAATTGACGAACAGTTGACAAAAATTACTGTACAACGAGAATTCGATTTAAAAGCGATTCACCTACAAGAATCGAGCTACTGCAAAATCAACCATGGATTCACAACGAATCTTAAAAAATCCGACACAACAACGACTCAATCTCGCTTGCACAAACAAAACTCAAGAAGAAGTGGAAATGAAACCTGCAGTGGCTGAGAAGATGATTTAAAACTCCATGGAAAATGCAGAGTTTCGCGTGGTTGAGGACGAACATAATCAGCTCTGAAAGTGGAGATGATTGAAACGAAGAGCAAGAGCATAAGAATCACCTTCCCTTCCATTTTCACTCGAGTTCATTCGATTGCTTCCTGCAATTTGTTAGAACACCGAAGAAATCACCCTTTTGAAAATTGTTTGTTTGTGTGAAAAGAAGAACAATTTATCCACTTCTTCTTCCATTTCCACTTTGGTTCATACTTGACAGTGACAGAATTTACAGAACCTTCATAATTTATAAAATTATATTATTAAATCATTTTAAATAAATGCTAAATTCAATCTCTTTATTTAATTTATCGAATAAATATTATAAAAAATCAATTAACTAAATTTTATAAATTCAACTCAATCAATAATAAAAATTAATTTTTTTACCTTATTTTAATTTTTTCTAATTAAAAAAATAATGTAAAAATTACCAAAAACTCAATACTTTCAACCATAAAAATTAAATTATTTTTAAAAAAATAGAGTAAATAATTTTATTTATTTATTTTTTAGGAAATTGGATTTTCCACGTTAATTTTTTTTCTATCTTTTATATATTTCTAAAGAAAATATTATGTTTAATGGATAATTTTCAATTTTTAATATAATTTCAAATTTAATAATATTTTATAAATAAAAAATATAATATTGTTTATTTATTTATTTATTTATATTTATATATAAAATAAAATAAATATAATTTGTCACTAATTCATAGAAAAATCTATATTCGTCGTTTACATTAATAGATTTTCGTAGGTTTGTTCGATCTCTAACGCTTAAAATTTAGGATAAAACTATTTATTTATTTATTTATTTTTCTCTCGATGATCCTAACTTATAAAACTATTATCAATCGATGGTGGGTAACGACCCAAACTCCAATAATAAATAAAATTAATTTTTTTCCTAACATAATTATCTTTTAAATTAGATTCGAGTTATATATAATAAATTTAAAAAACTCTCGATCTAGTTAAAAGGATAAGAGCACGAATTGTCTTGTGCCAAATTTTCAAGCCACCTGATCGAGTTAAAAATAAAAGTATTTTAAATATTAAATTCGAACGAAATGAAATGCAAGTTTTCAAATTTATTAGCAAGTCGGGTTATTGATGTTGGATGATGAAAGTTCCACATTAGCTAATTCAGGGGATGATCGTGAGTTTATAATCAAAGAATAATCTCTCCATTGGTATGGAGTTTCACCAAAAGTAAAGTCATGATAGCTTATACTCAAAGTGGACAATTTCATACTATTGTGAGAGTCGGGTAACAATCGGAATTGGTGAATTGTTGTTTTAAAATAATTAAATGATTAAAAAAATTGAAAAAGGGAATATTGCAATGAAACTAATATGAGCCAATCATTATTACACGTAGGAAAACTTATCTACTCAATCAAACGACGTCGTAAAGTACGTACACTTTTCTACTTCTACAAATGGCGTTGTCGGGAAATTCGCCGGTGACGATAGAGCGCCGCCGAGAACGATGCTTCATTTTCGATTTCGGATCCGGTTCGGAAACTCTAAAAACCCGCTAAATCGCATTCCTCCAAATCATCTTCAATTCAAGCTTCTTCAAACCCTAGCTATGGCGGATGTTCCTCCCAGTTCCGGAAGACTCGTTTGTCCATCCTGTTCGAAACCGGCTCGTATCTGTCTCTGTTCGCGGCTCCAAAGCCCTAGTCTCGAGAACTCAGTCGGAGTAATCATTCTTCAACACAGTTTAGAGAAAAAGCACCCGCTAAATTCTTCTAGAATCGCAAAATTAGGTCTCAAGAATGTCGAGATCGCTACGGTTTCCGACGTTAATTTCGAGGCTCGATTCACTATTCGGTTGCCTGAACTAAATTCTGATGAAGAATTTAGTTTCGGAAATGGTCAAAATGCTGCTCAAAAGCCTCAAATTCAAGTACAGAATCGGGATGAATCTCTAGTTGATAAACCTACTTGCACAAAATCTGACGAAGGAGCTGCGATTACCGCTACGATTGGGAAATATGGCGTCGTTAACTCATTCGATCACATCTGGATGCATCAACCGAGTTTGCAGGATCTTAAAATCGATGAGACTTTCGCATCTCCAGAAATTAGGGCATCAATGGCGAAAGGATTCATCGTGAAGAAACTGCAGAAGCGGAAGGTGGATGAAAGCAAGGAGCTAGAGGAATATGCCGAGTTCGAAATTGAGGTTCCTCCCAAGTCAGTACTACTTTTTCCCTCTGATAATGCTTTTACTGTAAATGATGATGATGTTCATGGTAGTGATTTTCATGTCAATAATTTGATAGTTTTAGATGGAACATGGGCAAAAGCTAAGAGAATGTACAATGAAAATCCTTGGTTGAGGCTTTTGCCTCATATGAAGTTGGATTTAGAGAAGATGAGCTTGTATAGTGAAGTGAGACGTCAGCCTAAGACTGGTTTTTTGTCCACCATTGAAAGCATTGTCTATGCCTTGAAAGTAATAGGTGATCACCCTGAGGGGCTGGATGATTTGTTGGATGTTTTTGAATCCATGATAGGAGATCAAAGGAGATGTAAAGATGAGAGGTTGAGAATTACTACTCAAATTTAAGATTTCCTCAAATCAAAATGGGCAACACTTGGTTTGGTTCTCGATGAATATGTATTGACCGACGAGACGTCGAGAAGTGAGTAGGCTTCTATTGCTATGCAATGATAGACAGGATTTGTAGACCTTTGATTCTCATTTGTCAAAGAGGTGAGATGTGAGATTCCACATCGATTGGAGAGAGGAACGAGTGTCAGTGAGGACATTGGTCTTCGAAGGGAGATGGATTGTGAGATCCCACATCGATTGGAGAGGGGAATGAGTGTCAACATCCTTGCTAGGCCCTAAAGGAGGTGGATTATGAGATCCCACGTCGGCCGGTTGGATAAGGGGTGGAAACCTCTCTAGCATACGCGTTTTAAAAACCTTCCAACAACATCTTTTCATCTAAAGTCATAGGAACCAAATGGAGCCCTTTAATAGCAATGCATTATCCTTCTCATGATTTCCTTGAGTAACCAAAATCCCATTCTCGACCTTATCACGACCTTGCACTCGGCTAGATACTCTGGGGTTCAAGTATCCATGGACTCGCAGTTTGCTTACTAGTTTCATATAACTCTATAACAGTCTTAGCCCACCGCTAGCCGATATTGTCTTCTTTGGGTTTTTTGTTTTGGGTTTCTCCTCAAGGTTTTTAAAAGCGTCTGTTAGGGAGAGATTTCTACACTCTTATAAAGAATGTTTCATTCTTCTCCTCAACCAACGTGGGATCTCACAAATCAAGCCTCTGGTTCGTATCTCTCATCAAAAGGGTCTCGAAAAGTGGCTTTACAAGCCCTCCATGTGTTTCTCACCTTGCAGCTAGAAATGAGCTTCTCAAAGGTTCACCAGATGTTGATCTGGTCCGTTCAGCAACTAGGAAGGAGGTGATTTTTGCCTTCTTGTTTTTTTTTTCTTAATTACATCTCTAAACTATGTAATTCTGAGTACTTAGAAGTAATTATAAACATTTTTTTTAAGAATATTTAGAGTCGTTCCAAACATGCTCTAAACAAAAAGATAAAACTTTGTATATGAGTTCCAAACATGTTCTCTATCAACGTTTTCTCATCTCAACTGATTCAAACTTTCTCTTTAGAATGATAATCTTCATGAATAGGATCAAACTTTATTACGAGCTATTTACATGAGAGTCTCAATTGTCATGGTTATTTGTGAAGTCAGGAGGACTGAATTTAAAACTAATTAAAATTACGGTTTCAAAGTATGGATACTAAAATACTATTTTGACAAAATATTTATGTTGTATATAAAATTTGTGCTATAAATTTGCAAAGAAGGACCAAAAATAGGTTTTAAAAGTGATGTTGTTAAATTAGGGAGTTTAGATCCTCAACTTTGAGGTTTGTATTTATTTAATTTTTAATCTTCAAAAGTATCTTAAATTTTGGGTTGGAATTGATTGGATTGGAACTCAAATATCAAACAACATAGGTTACATTAATAAATAAAATACGATAGAACTCAAATATCAAACATTCGTTACGGTTATATAGGTTAAATAATTTTAATCTTCATAATAATCTTAAAAGTAGGATAGAATATGATTGGATTGAAACCCCATTTTTGATTTGATCGAGTTGACCCAACTAAAGAAACGTCAATCCACAAGCCGATCCAAAATTTTTAATTTTAAAAAATTCAACTAAAAAAAAAAAAAAAAAAAAAAAAAAA